ATCCATTTTAAAAAATAGTTAAGTGTCATATTGTGTTAATCAGATATCTGATTATTTAAAAAAACAAAAACAAGAGCGACAAACATCTTCTCAATCCTAGGAAATAAAGTTTTGCTAGCCTGTATTTTTGTTTGTGAGAATAAACAAGTAATCTTTTCTGTCAAATTCTTTTAGGCAGCTGCCATTTAGGCCCACAGGACTTACAGCTCCCCTGGGGGCCACCATCCTGGGCTCTGTCTTACCCCTCCCCATCCTCTGAATTAGCCAATCACACAATAATGGGAAGCGAAGGTCTGAGCCCTGACCAATCAAGTCAGAGTTCAGAGTGAGGGGCAGGGCAGACCCCCGTGTCCGGAAATAAAACCTTTCAGATGTGCTTTGCCCATGATTTCCAGCTGGAGGAGCACCCTTGTGCACAGGGGTAAATGGCCTTGCCGGTCCGGTTTCGAGTGTTTATTTCATTCCTGTTACATTTCTGAGAGCGTTTCTAACACTGTGAGCTCCCAGAGGAAGGGCCTTTGCCAAAAACGTTGTCTTCGGGGATTATGAGTGCGGGATGGGGGCTGCAGTCTGTGGGGTGGGGACTGGACACAAGGACTGGACCTGAACCTCTGTTTACACAACAGGCTCAGGGTCCTCTTCAAATGACTCAGAATTATGGAATCTTTGGCCTCAGTCCCCACCACCCCCTGGCACTGCCCCTACTGTCTGGGGCTTCAACTATATTTCTCCTCTAGCAGCCATGAGGCAAGCTTGCCCAGGCATTGATTTTCTCCTCTGTCCCTCACCCTCAGTTGTCCCTAGTTGACTCCCAAAAAGCTATGTGGTAACTGCTGTTTCTTCAGAGCAAGTGAAAGGAAAACAAAATGACTGAATCATAATCACCTCAGAAAAAAAGGCACATGATTTCAGGGAAACCACTGGGTACATACCGGGGAAGAACAGGAAACAAAGTCCCAAGTCTATTTCTGGGTCAGACCAGTAGAGCAGGAGGATCGAGGTTGGTCTCCTCAAGGTAAGATCCGGGGGACAGGCTGGGGACTAAGGTAGGAGAGCTGCCTCACCAAGATGTGGGAGTCCAGCAGGGGGTTGGAACAGGGCAGCAGGCTCAGCCTCAGGGAATGGGGCCCTCAGCCAAGGGGGGCCTAGATACAGCAGGGACATGATTTGCAGGCAGGAATCAGATCTGCCTTCTAGAAGGGGCACCTGAGGACAAAGGGTGAGAGCCAGGGTTAGCAGACACCCTGGCCTTGGAATGTGTGGGGGAGCTGGGCAGGGAGTGTCAGTGGGTCAAGGACCCAAGCTCTTCCTTTCTCTGTACCCAGTGGGGCCACCCTTCACCCCACTATCACCTGTCAGGTGACCACACACTCAGGCCCTCCCCAGATTGCTGGGCTGCCTTGCAAGGGGAGGACAGCAGCACGTGCAGGGGTGGGCACGCCTTTTGAGGGGCGGAATGGGAAGGGGTGGGGGGCTTAGTGTACTCGGCGCACGCTGATTGGTGGCTTACTGCGTTGTCCATATAGGACAAGGGCTTAGGGTATTTGGCAGGTGTGGACTGGTGGTCCAATGTATAGTCCATATAAGGTACCTGGTTAGTCACTCAGGTAATTCTGGGCTGCAGGTTACGTCCTACCCCGCCCACCAGTTGGGGGAAGGGAGGATCTATCAGGTCCTGCTGGGAGCAGTGAGCTGGGGAAGGAGGGGTGTCAGGAGTTCTGAGCAGCCAAAGGAAATAGGCTGGTGGACAGGGAAGTGGGAGGGGCTGCTGGTGAGTAACCCCATGTGACCCGGGGAGCAGAGGAGAGGGGCCCAGGGCCCAGTAGCCAAGCCTGGGTTTTCTAGGTGGGGGTGGGGGGGCACAGCTGGAGGGGCTGAAGAGGATGGGCAGGAGGTGGGCAAAGCCTGGGCTGCTGGCCACAGGAGCTCCCTCAAAAAACAGTTTCCCAAGGTGGGTGAGGAGACAGTGTAGGAAAGGCTCACCTGTCGGAATTCAAATAACGGACTCAGACACAGAAGTCTGGCGAAAAGGAGACTTTTAAAACTTTCTCGAGAGGGGGATGTCCATTGGTGCAGGCTCACCTGAACTAGCTGGCACAGGCAGTATCTATCCTCTTGTGTGAAAGTCCCTCCTCCAGTTCCTCTTTGGCTGAGTATATGGAGTTTACATTCTATCCCATAGGTCGCCTAGGTCTTATTGTCTCCTATTGGTTTTTCGTTTTTTTAAATTGGCTGAGGCCTTTTCTAGTTGTCTCCACCTCCTTTTGTCTACAGAATCTTCCTGGAAAATGTGCTACCAGCCAGGTGCACAGCTCTCATAATCTCTCCCCACCTCCCCGCTCCCCCCACATATCCTGCTTGCTCTGCGGAAATTCAGTAGCTGAATACAGGCTGTTTCTTTTCTATGAAGATGAAAAGATGCATCTCCTACAATGGGAAGCCCCACCCAGACTGGGGAGCCTAGAGGCAATGGGGAAAGGGTAGGGGCAGTAGGTGATCTCTCCCCCAGGCTGGAGAGGACACTCCTGAGACCAAGGCACAGCCAGGCCCTGGTACTCCACAGACAACCCCTCACCCTCCCACCCCCAGAGAATGGGCCTGGCTCCATGGCCATTAACCCTCAGGTCTCTTGTTGTCCAGGTGATCTCCTCAGGGCAGGATCCCTGTGAGGTTGGGACCTGCTTCCTTGGAGGAGGAGATCCCAGAGGCCCTAGGGGGTTTGGAGTGTGTGGGAAGGTGACTTGGGGTGTGCTCCCCACAGGTGTGAGCTCTGATTCCTTGAGAAGATGCCTAAAAAAGAAAAGCAAGAATATAATTCCTTGGTCGGGATCGTTATGGTGAGATTCAGCCAGGCCCGGCAATGCCCAGCCACCAGTTCCTGGGACAAAAACAGGACTCTGGTCATTTCCCCCACTGACAGGGTGCACCCAGGACAACTAAGGGCCCATAAGGGGGCCCACTGCTTCCCTCTGGGCTAAGACCCCAGGACCAAGGGATGGGGCATCTCAAGTGACAGGCCAGGAGTTCTCAGAGGACCCAGGTCATAGGGGCAGAAACAGAATATTGGGGACCAACTGAAATTGTAAGAAACATTAATCATGCTCTGTTAACTGTGATTGTTTTGTTCTGATGAAAGAAGGCACATTCTGACCTGGCTGGCAGCTCACCTGGAAATGCAGTCCATCATCCCCACCAGGGAGCTGCCTGTCATCATGGAAAGATTAACAATCTAGTTGTAGAAACCAGAGCCTGGAGCCCTTCCCATATCCCCAGCCCTTTGAAGACCCCCAGCCTTTGCAGATGCTCAGGCCTTTGCAAATCTCCAGCCTGTATGACCTGTAAACTGCCCATTTGGCATACCCTTGCCTACTTCCCCATGTAGTCTTTGTCCTTCTACCCAATATAAGCAGCGGGCTTACGGTGGGTGCAGAGCAGATGTTTGTGGATGACCTGCTGCTCACCAACACTGCCAGCAGTATTGGAATAAACGCTCTGCTGAATTGGCTCAAGGAGTAACAGGCAGCACGGACTCAATGATTGTCCGGTTACACAGGGACCCCCCAGCCTCCATCCCCAGTTGGGGAGAGTCAGAAGGGCCACATCCCCCAGAGCCTGCAGGACCCTCTACAGTGTGCCCAGCTCACCCTGTGAGCAGCGCCACTGGCCACTTGCTTTCTCCCTCCAGCCCAGGGGGTGGAGAGTGCCATCCCCATGACCTATGAGGTGGCAGCACCCAGAGGGCCAAGGGCCGTTCTTAGGCCCCCAGTTGCTCACTACAGAGGGTGAGCAGAGCCAGCATCTGCCTTGAAGCCCATTCTTCCCACTCAGCTCAGTGGACGGGGCCATCTTGAGTGTTCCTCTTCCCTCTGGTTCCACCCACCCTGTCAGCCGGGACCCTGAGCCCCATAGTCCCCTCATTGTCTCTATCCTGTGGGGCGAGCGGGGGTCACAGGTCACCCTTCCCCTTTCTTCCTCCACATAGGGAGCAATCACTGTGAATTGCCTAGCATGGGCAACAGGGCCTGGTGCAATTGTGCTAGCCGTGGGCTCCGTGGCAGTAGGACTCACAGGAATGGGCTTCCTCTGGTGGAATAAGGTCAGCGTAAGCCTGGGATTAGCATCTGGGGAGGTCTGGGGCTGCCTGGGGGTGGGGGTGGGGGCTCTATATGAGTAAGAGGGAGGGCTGGGGATCGTTTGAAGGAGGCACAGTTCAGATCTGAGAAGGTAGTGGGGCCCTCCATTGGCCTGGAGGTCTGGCAGCCCCTTCAAACTGACTGCCCATACCCTCCTCCCATTGTCAGTTCCGGGCCCTGTCTGACACGCCCACCTTCTTTTGCAGGACAAGCAATACAAGATGCAGGAAAGGCAGTCCTCGGGTTACCTACATCATGTCCTGGTTACGACAGGAATTGTTACCTTTCTTTTCATTTTCTTTTACTGTTTCACTTCATTTCTGACTGGCGACAACAATGGCGTTATGTCAAGCTATAGAAACTGATCTCCCAGGTTACCCGAGGACCTACTCTATTATTGACAGGAATCCTTTCCAATCCCCTGGCCAAAAGCAGAAGGCTCCACCTTCTTGGGGAATGTGTGAAGCAACATGCTATACACAGCTTATATTTTGAGTATAAACAAGTCAACTTTTGAGCAAAATCAAAATTAATTAAATACACATTGATTGAGTGCATACTGTGTGCCTGACTCTTCCAGAACCAGACTCTTTATCCCAGGATTCTGGGTCCTTTGAGACCCAGCCCTGGGGCCTCCCCACACCCAATCAGCCCCCACCTCACCCTCCCCCAGGGCTGCCTGACCTGATTCATCCTTCAGACCCAGGGCCGCTGACTGTTCTGGGGCCTCCTCAGGGCCCGAAAGGGGAAAGTCACCTCTGTTTCTCCTCTACAACACTCACAGTCCAGACCAGCTGTGGGATTTCCCCACCAAGCTGTTTCCAGTCTCTGTGGACACCACTTTGTTTCCTCTGATTCAACTCAATTCTGACACCAACAGGAGTTATTGAAGACCCCACAGGTTAAGGGTTCAGTCCCACCAATCTGCCCCAACTTCAGATGCCAATCCCAGATAATGGGTCCCAGGTTACCCACAAATTTCTTTCCAGGGATTCCCACAACTTCTCCTTGGGTTCAATAATGTGCTAAACTGGCAGTCGGACAGCCCTCTCACAAACCAGGACCGCAGCCTCCTAACTGCTTACCTGCCTGCCTCATCGCCCCTAACTGCCCCCTCAGCCAGCCTGATCACCCCTAACTGCCTCTGCCTATCGGCCAGGTTATCCCCAACTGCCCATCCCCAGCCAGCCTAGTCACCCTCAACTGTCCCCGCACCAGCCTGGTTGTCCCCAACTGCCCTCCTGATGGCCTGACCGCCCCACCCAGCCTGCTGTTCAGTTTCCATCCCGTTGTTTCTGTCGTGACAGCCCCTAGCTTTTTATATATTAGGATATTCGGGGGCAGGGGGCCTGTTGAAAAGTAAAAGACCAATCAGTCAAAATCCCATCACTTAAAAATTATAAAATATGAAGTGGCATTCCCCTCCACTGGCCAGACCCTTCAGCCCCGCACTGCAGAGCCCCCAGAGGCACAGCGGGAGCTGCTCACTGGAGGGGCCACAGAGCACCATGCAGGCTGAAGGTGAAAGGACTTTTTACGGGTACAATAGGCAGGTTTAGGAAGTTTTAGGAATTAGGGGTTCCATGGGGAGAACCACAAGGCTGCAAAGCTGGGAGCTGCCCAAAGGTATACATTCACAGAATAAGGGAGCAGCCAGGAGGTGTGCATTTACAGAGTACAGGGAAGGAAGCCACTCACTCAGAGAAGGAAGAGGAGGCCAAAGGGAATAGAAAAACACAAGGGAGAGAAGAGGGGAACCCCACGTGGGGTTTGAGCTCTGAAGCTGCTATTAGTGACCAATCAGAGGGGATATCAGGACACAAGGACCTGCAGCCTTTATAAACCTTAGAGAAAGGGACTTAGTGGGACTCCCTCCCCCTCCCCACGTGGGAGTCGTGCTTGTTTATGAATAAATTTCCACCTTTTCCACCTTTTGTCTGTGGCTTCATTCTTTGAATCCACCTGGACAAGAACCCAGGAAGCTACCTTTGCATCCTGCCCAGTTCGAAATTCGAGTTTCAAAAGTGCAACAGAAACATTTGTGGATGAAATGGGCCACATGCTAATCTGACAAGCTCAGGGGAGGCCTGCATGCTGGTTTTGCAGACTCAGAGACCTAAAGTAGCCACAAAGGATGGCCTGAAATTAAACTTTAACTAAAAGCAATTATGGTGGGTAGTTATATCCTAGGCAGGTATCCTCACTGACAAAGTCAACCTTTACCTTAACCGAGCCCATCTGTTTCTTTGCATCTGTAAAAACATACCCTTGAAATGTCTGGGTAACTTGTAACTTCCCTTTTTCTGGACCCCTTGGAGCACAACCTAATGTGTCAGGACAGACACCACAAACTCCTTCATTGTTATCATGTTAATTGATCCTGCACCCACCTAAGTATGTGTCTATCATTTTAATTTTTATCCAATCCCAGGGGTTTCCCCCATCCCCCGCTTTGCTTTTTCCCATCCATTGGTCTATCACCAATGGATTTCATGTAACTCACCTACGTCTCTTCCTTGGATTGCAATGTATAAATACAGATGTAACCCGCCATTCTCCGGAGCATTATCTCAATCCCTTGAGGTTCTGCTTCCCGGCAATTGTAGAGTTTGGCTCAAATTAACTCACAAAAATTCTTTACGGGTTTGAATGTTTTTATGTTAACACATTCATGGACATATACTGTTGGCACAATTTCATAATATAAAAAAAGTAGAAAAAACTAAATGCCCATCTACAGGGTATTAGTTCAATTAACTGAAATAATCATGCATTAGAACAGGAACTCTGTATACTCGTGGTTCTCAAGGCACACGTCAGGCAGGCTGCATGCTCAGCAAGGTTAGGTAGGTAGGCAGATGCAGACACAGGGATGGTGGGTGCTTGGTGGGGGTGGTGGGGGGGGAGGTGGCAG